GTCTTTTTTCATCAATTTGGAAGTCATACTATAGTATGTGTCATTTTTCATCAGTTTAGAAGTCATACTATAGTATGTGTCATTTTTCACCAGTTTAGAAGTCATACTATAGTATGTGTCTTTTTTCATCAGTTTGGAAGTCATACTATAGTATGTGTCATTTTTCATCAGTTTAGAAGTCATACTATAGTATGTGTCTTTTTTCATCAGTTTGGAGTTACATTTTTTTATAAAGTCATCTGTTTTCTGACACGGTAATTTCTGCCACTTTCAGCCTAATTAACTTTTTTCCGCTAATTTCAGCTTTGTTCCTTTCAGTTTATTTCTGCTACTTTTAGCTGTTTTTGTGCTTAATTTAGCCTTTTCAGCTTATCCCCTATTTTGTAGAGTTTTTAGCTCATTCCACTTCCTTCTGTTAGTTTAAGCTTTTTTCTGCCTTTTCAGCTTTTTTTTTTTTTTATTGTAGATATTTTCCTAACGTTAGTGCTAATTTTTACTGAATTCATCAAATGTGTGTTTTCTGCTTTCTTCTGCTAACTTGTTTTTCCATTTCTGCTGTTTTTCAGCAAGTTCTTCAGCAGTAAACATTCACACTGCATTTTCTCTAGTTGATAGTTTGGGCTCACCGATGATGGGAACTGTTTTGGTTTTAAGCTAAAAGACAAAATAAAAATACAAAAGCACGTTCTACTTCCTGTAGGATAAACCGACAGAGTTCTGTTCTGCGTTTTTTCTTGGCGTGGCCTAAAATATCTCCTGTTTGCGTTGAAGGTGGCCGTTCATTCGTACGTGGAGAACCTCTTCAGGTCCATCTGGGGAACGTCGCAAGGCCGAGCGCCGCACGCCGTCAAGTACTTCTTCGACTTCTTGGACGCTCAGGCGAACAACATGAAGATCAGCGACCCGGACGTTCGACACATCTGGAAGACAAACAGGTACCAAAGGGCCCGACTCTGTGGACACTGTCCGTGTCTTCCAGGAGTCTAACCGTCTTCTGCTCTCTACCAGTTTGCCGCTGCGCTTCTGGATCAACATCCTTAAAAACCCGCAGTTTGTTTTTGACATGGACAAGAGTCCACATCTGGACGCCTGCCTGTCCGTCATCGCCCAGGCCTTCATGGACTCCTTCTCTCTGAGCGAGCTGCAGCTCGGGAAGGTAAAGAGGGCGCAAACACAGGAAGGGCGACTTCACCAGTCACCGTCATAACGGTTATTATAAATCTTGTTTCAGCACGCACCGACCAACAAGCTGCTCTACGCCAAAGACATTCCCAAGTTCAAACAGGAAGTGAAGGTTTACTACAAACAGGTCCGAGAGCAGTCGCCGGTCACAGACGCTGAGTTCAAGGACTTCCTGCAGGGAGAGTCAAAGGTGACGTCCATTCTTCCACAGTTCAGCAGGAAGGTTACGCGTGCTAACGTTAGCTTTCAGTTGGTGGAGGTTCAGTTCAAAGTTCTGGTAAAAAAGAAAAAGAAAGAAACTTTTGTTTCATGGTCTTTGATTTCAGAAACATGAGAATGAGTTTAATGAAGCTGCAGCTCTGAAGGAGCTCTACAAGTTCATCCAGCGATACTTCACCGAGGTCAGCACTTTTCTTTTCTTTCTCTCCACAAACTCAACTTTTTATTGGTGAGACGTCCAGAAAACCACTAACGACCCGTGCAGCTGTTGCACGTGAAAACCTTCAGTTTCTTGTTTCTGCCTAAGAGTTTAAATAACCAACTCATTCATTTTATTCATAGACATTTAGATTAAATTTACTGGAACCGCAAGAAACGCTGAGATTAGGTACAGATTGAAGTACAGTAGTCCCTCACTATCACGGCTTTTCAAAATAAGAGTGGACATGACACACAGTTGGCTGATTAATGGATAAGCCGCACGGTCGGCATGGAACTTTTATATAAAATAAATTAATCTAAATTATTTAGCACCTGCTGCACCTTTGTGCAGCCCACACTGCAGGATAAACTTCCTGCTGCAGCTGATCAGCTGTTCTCCATTCAGAGTGGAGAAGTGGGCGTGGCCAAGAGCTGAAATCATCACGTTTTGTGCTTTTTTACAGCGTTTAGTTTAGAAAACATTGTTTAGAATATTGCAAGTGTGGGAAGAGTTTAAAATGCCTTTATATATATAATGCACTGTGGTGCAACTGGTAGAGCTGCTGCCTCTCAGCGAGCAGGTCCGTGGTTCAAACCCCGGTCCAGGGACCTTTCTGGGTGGAGTTTGCATGTTCTCTCCGTGCATGCGTGGGTTTTCTCCGGTTAATCCGGTTTCCTCCCACAGACCAAAAACATGCATGTTAGACTCATTGGTGACTCTAAAATTGTCCCTAGGTGTGAGAGAGTGAATGGTTGTTTGTCTCGTTTGTCTCTATGTCCCTGTGATGGACTGGAGACCTGTCCAGGGTGTCCCCCGCCCAGCGATTGCTGGACATGGGCACCGGTGACACCCATGACCCAAAATGGAAGAAGCGGGTAAAGATAATGGATGGATGTGTATATATATATATACATATATACATATATATATATATATATATATACAGTAGTGAAATAAACTACTTGTACTAACCCTTATCGTGGGGCTTCAGGCTTCAGATCCTCCACGATAAACGAGGGACAACTGGACGTTGAAGCTTTTTGAACGTCCTCAGCTTGGACCATTAAATCTTACTGGTAATTCTCCTGGATTGACGAGCGAACTGCTGAGACCAACGTGGATTAATGAGCATTAATCATAAACCTTCACATTAATATTAATTTTAAATGAATGATTTATTTTGTTTGCAGAAAATGCCCAGAATGACACGTACAGTAACGGACCGTGTGATTTCAGAACCACACTCAAAAATGTCCGAACTAGTCCTTTAACGTTTCTCAGTGAAGCTAACTGATAAAAAAAAAAAACTTCCAGCTGATTAAATTTGACTCGTGTACGAAGAAGTCCATTAACTGAACTGAGAGGGATAATGGAGCGGTTCTAATGGACTCCTGGAACGGGTTTTCACTCTTAATGAACGTTGAAGGGTTAGAAAGGTTCTGCTGCGTCAGGCCAAGTGTCGAACGACTTCCTGTTTTCAGACACCTCAAACCGAGCCCGCAGGTTCTGTAGCCGGTCCAGTAAAGGTTCTGTTTTCTGTCCTTCAGATCCGAGAGAAGCTGTGTCACAGCGGAGCTCCTGCTGAGCTCACGGAACAACTGCAGCACGTTAAAGAGTCGTTCGACGGCCTCAAGAGCTGCTCCTGGATCTGAGTCAAGGTTTGGACTTTCAGCTCGCGTCACGCAGCCGAAACAAAATACATGAAGTGTTTGTTAAAGCTGTACAATTTATGAGTGCTTTAATATCTGCGTCGTGTTACAGCATGTAAACAAGTGTTAAAGGGACAGTTCAAACATTTTGTTGGTGGCTTCAGTGCTGCCTCTTAAACGGCGTCCTCAGACTGTTGGAGACGTTCCACTTCCTGTCCCATGCAGGAGGAGGAAACGACGGATTGATTGCTTCATTGTAAAGATCAGAAAGCTGAACTCTGTCCAGAACATGGTGGTGCTCAGCTGAGACCAGAGTCCGGTCTCCTGACAGGACTCTCAGATCTGGTTCACCAAAAACTGAAGCAGTTTCTGAAAGAACTCATTTTGTCAGAACATTTTAATTTCATGTCTTTTTCTTAAGCGTCGTCATCATTGTACGTTTAACCATCACAGCTGAGGTGCACCCAGGGAGCAACTGGAGATTAGGTGCCATGTTCAAGGGCATGGCAGGGGGTTGAACCTGCAACTTTCTGGTCCCAATTGAACTGCCCTGCCTCTCTACTAAAAGCCCATCTAGGGTCTGACACCATATTTAATACATTTATCTCCATTATATATTTTTCTTGGGCTGGGATAGAAGCAGCCAACTCAGGACCAGAAAGTTGCAGGTTCAACTCCCCACCTGTTGTGGTGTCCACAAACACCCGACTCCTCCCTGTGGGTATAAATACACAGAACTGATTTCAAAACTAAACCGTCTCTTCTCAGATGCTTTTGAGGACCAAGTGTTCATGAAGCTTCTAAAATCCACATGGAAGCAGTAAATCCACCGTTCCTTCAACACCGTGGAGCAAATGTATCAGATGAGTGTCATCATGAGGTCGTTTCTGCAGCTGAAAACATCTGGACTATCCCTTTTAATCCTGAGGACATTGAAGCGCTGCCGTTACATAATTTATCAATAGTTGTTTTTAAAATTTCACCCCCTGGATCCTGGGGGGGGGGTCAAAGGTCAGGGTTGGGGTTTGTGTCCTGCTCTTTCTGCACCAGAGAGCCCAGCTCCTCCAGCTGCTGCTGCTGAGCGCGCTCCAGCTCCTCCAGCCTCCGACGGAGAACCGAGAAGTCTCGCTCCTGCAGCAGAGAACGAGGCGCTCACTTTTATTCACACGCTGCTGCAACGTGCGCTGCTGCAACGTGCGCTGCTGCAACACTCACCAGCTCGTTGGGGAACGGCCCGTCAGACCCGTGGAGGACGAGGTGGGTGGGAGAGGAGGTCCACACTGCAGCACCCCCATGACCTCCGAGCAGGAGGCGCCGGAACTCGTTGTGCCGTCGCTGCAGCTCCTTCAGCCTCCTGCAGAGCTGAGCTTGTTCCTCTGAGAACGCCGAGCGTCTGGAATGAAGAGAACGAGTGAAGACAAACCCCCGACAGATCCGACGGAGCGTTTCAGCTGATCGTTACTTTGTAGCGGCGGCAGCTTCCAGCTGCAGCTCCTCCACTCTGGCCTCCAGCAGCTGGATCTGCTCCTGCAGGCTCCTCTCTCTGCTCTCCGTCTTGGTTTTTCTCTAAACAACACACACGTGTGAACATGGACCTCCTGCAGCTCAGAAACGGTTTGTGTGTGTAAGAACCTTCTTCTGCGCCGCCGCCGCTCTCTGCAGCTTCTCTTTGACCTGCGAAGATCTCCGCTGCAGCTCGGCCGCTCGCTCCTGCAGCTGGTGTTTCTCCTCCAGCCACTCCACCTGACGAGACTCCACCAGCCTGGAGGAGACAGAGGATCAGAACAAACCGGGTCGGAGAGTCCACGCGGACCTGGATGTGAAGGCACCTCTCGGCCTCGTGCTGGCTCCTCTCCGCCTGCGTCCGGGCCGCCCTCAGCTCCTCCCGGACTCGGTCCAGCGTCTCCCTCAGCCTCTGGTTCGTCTCCCTGAGCTCAGCCTCGGAGCGAGTCAGCGCCGCCAGCTGGACGTTCAGCTCCTGGTTGTGCTGCGGAGTCGAGAACAACTTTCAGTACGAGGAAAACAAACGTGCGGTGTTAACGAGCCGCCGTGAGATTCACCTGCTGCAGGTCGGACATGTCTGCTGTGAGTCGTGCAGCCTCCTGCAGCTCGCAGCTCTGCTGCAGCACTTTACTCCTGAAACAACAAGAGCAGCCATGAAACAACAGCGAGCGGAGCTCCGAGGTCTCTCAGAGACTAACCTCAGGCTCTGCAGCTCCCTGCGAGACGACTCCTCTCCCCGCTGAGCGCTGCGGAGCCGCTCCTCCCACTCCTCCCTCAGGGCCTGATCCGAGGAGTCCTGCAGGAGCCTCTGCTGCTCCAGAGCTGCCACACGGTTCTCCAGCTCCAACCTGAGGTTAGAAACGGCAGAGGACAGAGACGTAACAGAGTCCTCAGAGGGTGTGGAGTTAACTCAAGTCCATCAGAACCCCCCCGGTCCATTCAGAGCCACCAGCTCACCTACACTGATCCACAGAAGGCGGCGCTGCCTTCACTGACCCTCAGCTAATATTCCATTACATTGTAGTTCAGCGTCTGTAAACGTAGACGTGTTTGTGGCGGCCATCTTAATTTGGACTGACTTCAGTTGTATTTGAATCACTTCCTGAAAGTTTCATTTAAAGCGTCCAGTGGTTCTACAGATCCATCACGTCTGTAAATTTACAGATATCATGTTAGAAACAGTCAAAGGTTTTTAAGTTCATCTAATCTAACGGGGTCCTTTAGTTTTGAAGTAAAAACTAATGTCAGGTACAGACGAGCTTCAGTTCTGGAACTATTTAAATTTAATAAGTAGTTAATGAAGAGTTATAAATGTAATGCTTGTAATAATAATAATAATTTATATCTATGTATATAAATAATTAAATATAGGGAGGACATCATTGTATTTTGAGTTCTGGGGAATCCATGAGAAACTGATTTGGTCTCTTCTTCTTGTTGTTTCAGCTTTTCCTTCTTCAGGTGAGTCATCCTCCTCCATCTCACTCTGCAGCTGCATTTCTAACATCCTTCCACCAGTATACCCACTGTCCCTGTTCTGGACATGTCCAAAGCACATCGTCAGGTCCTACTGTCTTCATTCTTTTCAGAGCTTTCTGGAATTCACCCTCACTAATCTTTCCCACTTCAGTTTCTATGACCTCTACTCTTCTTTCATTAGCTCCTCAAAGTACTTCCATCTTCCTGTCACACTCTTCTCACTTGTTGGAACATTACCATTTCTATCTAACAAGCCTAACCTGCTGCACATCCTTTCCAGCCTGATCCCTCTGCTCTTCAATTGGTACAAGTCCTCACCCTCTTTAGTGTCCAGCCTCCCATACAACTCGTCTTACACTGCGTGGCCAAAAAAAAAGTCACCACCTGGATTAAACTAAGCAAATAGATACGAGCGTCCTATTGGACAATTACTGCACGGGTGATTATCTTTTAGCTGCAACAAGTTATTTAACCCCAACTGGTGCAATGAGTTGCTTCATTTCTTCAACCATGTTGAAAGACGCATGGCGTGGTCGTGGAAATGATGTCAGTCTGTTTGAGAAGGGTCAAATCATTGGCATCAAGCAGAGAAAACATCTAAGGAGATTGCAGAAACTACTAAAATTGGGTTAAGAACTGTCCAACGCATTGTTAAAAACTTGAAGGACAGTGGAGACCCATCGTGTTCGAGGAAGAAATGTGTCCGGAAAAAATCCTGAATGATCGTGATGGGCGATCACTTAAACGTTTGGTGAAATCAAATGGAAGAAAAACAAGAGAAGCACTCAGGGCTGTGTTTAATAGTGAAAGTAAAAGCATTTCACAGTGAAGGAACTCAAGGGACTGAACAGCTGTGTAGCCTTAAGAAAACCACTAATCAGTGAAGCTGACTGGAAAAATGAATGCAACACTGGATGGAAATAGATCTTGTGACGTTGCAGAAGCTCATTGAAACAATGACACAGAGACTGTCAAAGCTAAAGGCAGTCCAATGAAATATTAGTTTGGGGCCAGGCAGTTTATTTCTTCTTGGCTAACCTCTTTCTTTGAACGGTGTCCTGCACTTCACTATTCCACCACCAGGTTTCCTTATCATCCATTCTCTGTCCTGATGACACACCAAGTATCTAATTACTGTTGCTGTAGTGGTCCAGTCATTTGGAAGCTCTTTCTTATCACCCAGAGCCTTCAACAGCTCCTCTCTGAATTTCTCACAACATTCTTCCTTCTTCAGCTTCCAACATTTGGTGTTCTTCTCTGATTTTACTCTTCTTCACAACAACAGTCATTCTACACACAACCGTTCGATGCTGTCTGGCCACAACCTTACAGTCTCCAACCTCCACTGTTATAGTCACTATGTCCCGCTTTTGGAAATGGGTGTTGACTATAGCCATTTCCATTCGCTTGGCAAAATCCATCACCATCTGTCCTTCCTGGTTTCTTTCCATCACTTCCTCATCCTCTGTTTCCTTCACCAACATCTCCATTCAGGTCTGCTCCAGTCATCACTCTCTCCTCCTGGGAATATTCCATCACTTCATCCAGATATTTCCAAAATGTATCTTTCTCCTCCACATCACATCCAACCTGTGGAGCATAACCACTGACAACATTTAGCATCATACCTTCTACTTCTACCTTCAGGCACATCACCCTATCCAACACTCTTTTCAACTCCTCCTTCAGAACCACCACTACTCCATTTCTCTTTCTATCCACACCATGGTGAAACAGTTTGAATCCTGCTCCAACGCTGCGAGCCTTGCTGCCCTTCCACTTGGTCTTTTGGACACAAAACCTCTACCTTCCTTCTCAGCATCATGTCAGCCTCCTCTCAACCTTTGCCTGTCATTGCCCCCCATATGTGTCCCTCCTTATGGTCTTCAACTAACAGTAGCATAATTTTCACGAGCACAAACGGGGTGCTGGTGAAAACTGTGCTACTGTTAGTTGAAGGCCACAAGGAGGGAGAAGAGGAACATCAAGATTAATTGTTTGTTTATTTGAAACTATTTTTGACATAACCTGATAAACAATCCATTCATATTGAAAGGAGACAAAACATGATTGCCATGACTATTAACTAAAACTACTGATGAAGTGATGAATCTCTGGTTGAAGTGACAGAAGTGCAGAAAAAGAGGCTCCGCCTCCTGATTTCACACGAGATCTTACTTTTCTTCGTGCAGGACTGCTGTTTTGAGGAGCTCCTCCTCCCGAGCCGACTGGACCTTCCGGACCATCTCCCTCTCCTTCCCCACCAGAACTTCTTTGTGTCGCTCCACGGCTGCTTTCAGGACCTCCACGTCTGCCTGAAGGCCTGAGGACAACAAAGTATTCAGTCAGAGGGACGAGTCAGAAGACGTGTGTTTGTGTGACGGACGTACCGTCCAGCTGTCCCTGCAGAGAGTCCCTCTCCCGCTCCACCTCCCCTTTGGAGCGAGAACACTCCAGTTTGACTCCGGCCACCTCGAGTTTGTGGGAATGCTTCAGGCTCGCCATCTGAAACCCACAACGAAACAAACTCAACAAAATAAAACGCAGCCTGGAAGCTGCTTTTATTATTTTCATGTGTTCAAATGAATAAAAAGATTTTAGTAATTCAACAGCTTTTCACATTTATTTCACAGAAATCAGATTATTGTTTAATGGTTTGAAAGTGACTCCTAAATTTTGGGAGAAATATACAAAGGATCATGTTTGCACAGCAACATAATCATAATTTCAGTTTAGATCTTAAGATGCAGGAGAACCTCACAAAGCTGAAATGTTTTTAAAATTTACTCACTTTAAAAACAGAAGTTTCACAAAATGAACTGAAAATACTTCCACTTTAGATTTACAGTAAATGTTGGTATTTGGGTGTCAAATCTAGAGCCGGACCGATATTTTATCCTTAAAGATTAACGTGTTTTTCAAGAGATCTGGTCAAGACGGCACGTGAATACAGATACAAGCTAAAACATTACTAATGACACACAAGAATTCATAAGAGTCTGAAAACCTTCGGAAAAATGTGAACTTGTTTAATTTGAGCTGAAGGTTAAAATAAGAGACGCTGTTAGTTCAGGAGCTGACGAGGAACACGACTCCGTGAAGGTTTTACTCATTTACATCTTAAGAGGGGAGTTTAATCATTTTGTCGGCTCCAAGAAACAAATTAATTACACAACTACGTGTAATTTACAAGGAATTTATGAAACCAAGCAAATAAATACTCAAACATTTCAAACCGTAGCCTTAACAACTTTAATCCCGATATATAATTTATAACAGGCACCATTTTGATAATAAAAGCCCAATTTAACTTTCAGCTTTTGTACTAAATGTTCAATTAAAAATGAAAATAAAAAGACAATCATTCGTCCAAACACACAAAGATTGGCAGGATTATAAGAAATGACGGTTTTATCTGGGTTCTGGGAGAAAAAACCCGAGTTTGGTTTATTCACATTAGGCCGTACGGTGTTTCCTGCAGTTTGAGCCAACTCATTCAAATGTGTCATCTGCGTAAAGGTGAACTTTTAGTTGTACAGTAGTCTCTCGCTACTTCGCAATTCCACTTTCTTGGACTCGCTCTTTTGTTCTTTGTCAACTTTAATATTACTCACGTGATTGGGATGGTACACAATAAAAAGTTAACGAAAAAACTCCAGACAGGCACCGCCATAAGCCTATACTGTAACCAGTCAAAAGAACTACACTACCCAGAAGCCAACAGTGCTTCCGGCTGCTGCATTCTGCAAAATGGAGGGAAAGTTTTGCAACGCAGAACTGGCAGGAAAGTCACAAATAATCCTGAAGCTCAATTATCCACGTGCACATAGGCCTGTTACGATAAACAATAAATCAATTAATCGCATGATAAATTAGAATGAGGTCGATAATTTTCATTTATCGACTTTATCGTTTCTTCATGTCTCTTTCTACTGAAGACACTAAAGGCTCAACTCCGGTGCTCTTCACTGACCCCTACATTTCTCTTTAAAATCCGTTTTAACCGTCCAAAATCGTGTTTTTGGATCATTAAAAGCAGTTAAGCTACAAGCTAAGCTAACAGACTGACCTCAGGGAAAAACCTCCGTCTTGTCCAAGCTTCAAAATTCACGGTTGAAACCCGTGCCTTCGTGTAAAAAGTTGTTTTTCTCCGCAAAAAGAAGATGAGAACTTGTTTACTGATTTTTTTATTAAAAGCTTTGTGTGAAAAATGTTATGCTGAAGAGCTCAAACCACTCAGAGCGTCTGCCATTTTGAGAACCAAAAAAACAGGAAGGAGACAGAGCCCATGTCACGTCAAGGGGCCTTCCTCCCATTTTTCTTAAGAGACATGCTGCTCGCTCCCTCACTATCCATCCTTTGGTTCAAACTATCTTATACTGACATCCAGTGGTCGAAAAGGTACTACACTCAAAACAAATTAACATTTCTTTTTAAAATTGACAATAATTACTAATTATTGTCAAATTTCAAACAATGTTATTGTTTATCGCAATAATTTCTGAGACAATTAATTGCCGAGCAAAACTTGTTATCGTGACAGGCCTACGTGCACATCAACCTGGACAGGGCAGTGGGCTTTGTCGCTGCAGGGTAGTTCTGCAGAACAGAACTCGAACAGAGCCTGACCGGCACCTGCTGGTCTGCAGAGCCGATGAATAAAATTTTGCAGTACTGTACAGTACATATACGTAGGCCTGTCACGATAACTAATTTTGCAGGGCGATTAATTGTCTCAGAAATTATAGCGATAAACGATAATATTGTTTGAAATTTAACAACAGTTAATTGTTAAATTTTAGAAGAAATTAATTTGTTTGGAGTGTAGTACTTTTTTTGACCACCTGATGGCAGTATAAGACTGAACAAAGGATGGATAGTTGAGCAGCGTCTCTTTAAGAAAAATGGGAGGGAGGGCCCTTGACGTGACATGGTGACGCTTGGTGTGGTTTGAGCTCTTTAGCATTTGTCACACACAGCTTTTAATAAAAAATAAAAAAAAATCAGTAAACAAGTTCTCCGCTTCTTTTTGCAAAGAAAAACAACTTTTTTACACAAAGACAGGTTTCAACAGTGAATTCTGGAGCTTCGACAAGACGGAGGTTTTTTTCCCCGAGGTCGGCCTGTTAGCTTAGATCGTAGCTTAGCTTCTCAGCTTAGCTGCTTTGAACGATCCAAAAACACAACTTTGGACGGTTAAAATGGATTTTAAAGAGAAAGGGAGGGGTCAGTGAGGAGCACTGGAGTTGAGTCTTTTGTCATCCAGTGTCTTCAGTAGAAAGAGAGAGACGAAGAAATGATGAAGCTGATAAATGAAAATGAGGTTGATAATTTTCATTCATCATGCGATTGAGTTATTATTTATCATGACACGTTTACATATATGTGCAGTATGTTGTTAAAATGACGTAGGTTTGAGAGTTTAGAACATTGCAAAAGTGTGGGAAGGGTTTATAAAGTCTTAAGATATATACAGGTCCTTCTCAAAAAATTAGCATATTGTGATAAAGGTCATTATTTTCCATAATGTAATGATAAAAATGAAACTTTCATATATTTCAGATTCATTGCACACCAACTGAAATATTTCAGGTCTTTAATTGTTTTAATACTGATGATTATGGCATACAGCTCATGAAAACCCAAAATGCCTGTCCCAAAAAATTAGCATATTTCATCCCACCAATGAAAGACAAGTGTTTTTAATACAAAAAACACCAACCTTCAAATAATCATGTTCAGTTATGCACTCAATACTTGGTCGGGAATCCTTTTGCATGAATGACTGCTTCAATGCGGCGTGGCATGGAGGCAATCAGCCTGTGGCACTGCTGAGGTGTTATGGAGGCCCAGGATGCTTCGATAGCGCCCTTAAGCTCATCCAGAGTGTTGGGTCTTGCGTCTCTCAACTTTCTCTTCACAATATCCCACAGGTTCTCTATGGGGTTCAGGTCAGGAGAGTTGGCAGGCCAATTGAGCACAGTAATACCATGGTCAGTAAACCATTTACCAGTGGTTTTGGCACTGTGAGCAGGTGCCAGGTCGTGCTGAAAAATGAAATCTTCATCTCCATAAAGCTTTTCAGCAGATGGAAGCATGAAGTGCTCCAAAATCTCCTGATAGCTAGCTGCATTGACCCTGCCCTTGATAAAACACAGTGGACCAACACCAGCAGCTGACATGACACCCCAGTGACTGTGGAAACTTGACACTGGACCTCAAGCAATGTGAATTCTGTGTCTCCTCTCTTCCTCCAGACTCTGGGACCTTGATTTCCAAAGGAAATGCAAAATTTACTGTAATCAGAGAACATAACTTTGGACCACTCAGCAGCAGTCCCAGGCGAGATGCTTCTGACGCAGTCTCTTGTTCAAGAGTGGCTTGACCTGGGGAATGCGGCACCTGTAGCCCATTTCCTGCACACGCCTGTGCACGGTGGCTCTGGATGTTTCTACTCCAGACTCAGTCCACTGCTTCCACATGTCCCCCAAGGTCTGGAATCGGCCCTTCTCCACAATCTTCCTCAGGGTCCGGTCACCTCTTCTCGTTGTGCAGCGTTTTCTGCCACACTTTTCCCTTCCCACAGACTTCCCACTGAGGTGCCTTGATACAGCACTCTGGGAACAGCCTATTCGTTCAGCAATTTCTTTCTGTGTCTTACCCTCTTGCTTGAGGGTGTCAATGATGGCCTTCTGGACAGCAGTCAGGTCGGCAGTCTTACCCATGATTGCGGTTTTGAGTAATGAACAAGGCTGGGAGTTTTTAAAAGCCTCAGGAATCTTTTGCAGGTGTTTAGAGTTACGTTGTTGATTCAGATGGTTAGGTTAATAGCTTGTTTAGAGAAACTTTTCATGATATGCTCATTTTTTGGGACAGGCATTTTGGGTTTTCATGAGCTGTATGCCATAATCATCAGTATTAAAACAATTAAAGACCTGAAATATTTCAGTTGGTGTGCAATGAATCTGAAATATATGAAAGTTTCATTTTTATTATTACATTATGGAAAATAATGACCTTTATCACAATATGCTAATTTTTTGAGAAGGACCTGTAAATACTAAAATGCAGCGTTTCTAGTTTGTAGTTTTTCACCCATTGCGGTGGTGTGTGGAACGTAACCCCCATGATAATCAAGGGACTACTGTACACAAACTTGTGACGAGTTCAAGAAAAATGGACTTAAAACTGAGCCTTGGAGAACTCCTATAAATATTTTAATTGACCTGACATTTCAGTGAAGTGTTTTCAACCATCCTACAGTCCATCCTCAAAGCTGCCATCAACAGAGTCAAACAAACATGGCGGCACACCCTGTCCACTTGTTGCCAACTCAGCTGCTGTGATATTAAACCAGACTGATTCGCTGCAGGGTGACAGGTAAGGGTCAAAGGTGAGCGGCGTACCTGAGAGGTGAGGGCGTTGACTTCTCTCTCAGCTTTGTGCAGTCGCCCGGTGAGCTGAGCGTTCTGCTCGTGGCTCAGACGGAGCTCGCTCTCCAGCCGCTCCAGCTGCTGACGCAACGACTGACGCTCCGCCTGGAACAGCAGGAACCAGTGAGAACCACCGGGACAGGAGGAAAACATCCAGTTACTGGACTACAGGCGTGTCCCCTGCAGGAACCAGAGCCAGAACAGATGATGTGGGTAGAAAACAACTTTGTTTCAAATGTCCTGAACCTTTAATGTTTCCTGCAGCTCTAGTTCATTGATGGGACATTTCTCATCACTTCACTTCACGACAGAATAAACTAAAGAAAAGAACTTGGACATGAGTCGACTACAGAAATGATCTTTAGCTGCAGAGTCAACACAACATTAATAAGGTTATTAACAATAGATGTGACATTTTTCTACTTGTTAATGTCCACATGCTGCAGAGGAAATAAATGTATATGACCACAACCTGAGTAATAAACACATTCAGGGTTGAAACGTTCGAGGGTTCGGGTGAAAACGCAGCTCATGATGATAAAGGGGCGTCACCTCGAGGGACTTCACTGCAGCCTGAGACTCGGACAGCTGTCGGATCTGGATCCGCTGGACGTTCTCGGCCTGCTGGCCCGAGTTCTCCTTCTGGGCTCGGAGCTCGGCCACCTCGGCCTCCAGGCCTTTGAGCCGCAGGTGGAGCTGGGCCTTCTCCCTCAGCAGAGCCTCCACCCTCTTCCCGTCACGCAGCGGGTCCGAACCCTGATACTGAGCCACCAGCTCCTCCCTGTCCTTCTCCAGTCGAGCGACCTGCGACAGAACATCACGTCTTCAAGGATTCTTCTTCCCGTTCAGTGTCTGCTGCGCGCCATCGGACCCACCTCCGCCTCGTAGCGGACCCGCCGCTCCTCCAGTACGCGGGCGTGCTCTTCTCTCTGGTGCTCACACTGGGACTGGAGGAAGGTGAACTCGTAGCGGAGCTTGTTGTACTCGGACCTGTACTTCTCCGTCTCCTGCAGGACATCAGCCACAAACGGAGAAGATAAACTTGTGACCAGTTCAAGAAAAACTGACTTAAAAGTGAGCCTTGGGGAACTCCTATAAAACAACTATAAATCATCTGAGACACAAACACAGGCAGATTAGTTAGAGCTCATTAAAATGCTTAATTTCTTGAAAGTGATTAATTGTTTAACATAAAATGAATGGTTTGCTGTTTATTTGACATCAATATAGTAAAATAATAAGTGTCACAAGAGCCTTCAAGTTCTGATCAGATGATTTAAAGGGAACAAAGCTCCTCTGGGTAGTTTGGTCATCACGCTGCTCATGGAGCAGAGGCTCTCGGACACCATTATTCGTGTTAAACACCACCTCCGAGCAGCTTTACGTTCCTCTGACCACCGCTCTGACAAGATTATTAACAAATGAAAACATTATGGGGCTGTAACCAAACTCCTGGGACGTGGATGCAAGAAGAAATGCACCCCCAGGTTGATCAAAGTGGAGATGGTGAGAAAAAAGTGAAAAGAACAACATCTGGTGACATGAAAACTATAAATTTTCACTTCAGTGAAACATTAGTTTTAGCTTCAGAGGTTTATACACAACATTTGTTATTTGACCGACGTTCAAAAGCCTTCGCCCAGTTTTATTTATTTATTTATTTTTAATGTGACAAAGACGAGACAGACTCATGTTCGTGCTGCTGTTCAGCGTATTGTTTTTGTGTTATCAGTGCTTAGTGTAGTTTTAGTTAAACGTTTTAATTAGTTCATATCTTTGATCTTATTACTGCTTTTCTTTTACATTGTAACACTTGTGTTGGATGTAACTGGGACCCTGTGTACATAGTTTTGTTCCACCACATGTACCACATGTGCTGCGTACGACAAATAAAGAACCGTGAATCCTTGAACAAAGTTTTAAAAATATAAAGATGCCATTTCCCAAGCTCGTTTGTTTTTATGTCGACTAAAATATTGTTCTTTGAATCTATTTTTAAATATTGTAATTTATGGATTATAAGCCGCTACTTTTCCACACACTTTGAACACTGCAGCTAATTTATGCATTTATTTTCTTGACGGACTAACGAGCCTCGTGACGCCCGGGCGCTCACGTAGCTGCCAGTCTCTGTTGCGGGGTGGGTTCTTGTGACTCAATGACATTACCAGTTTAAATAATGGTTTAAAAAAATGTGACCAATGAAATTACTGAACAGGTCCCAGGAAGAAGATCGATGACTTCTTGGTAGGCTACTGGTTTGTAGCATGGAGACCCACCACTTATAGACAAATGCAGCCTACATGTATGTACAAATTTATTAAATGTATGTATTAAATTCAGTGGGCGTGGCTTATATTCAGGTGCGTTCAACAGTAAAGAAATGATGGTAAAAGTTTTTGCTGTGAGTCGCTGTGCAGGAATATTAAACAAGAAAAAAGATGATGGTGTGGAAACTAAACGGTTTGAAATGTGAAATATATTAAATCAACTAAACACTTAAAAGTTGTTGACAGAGTTGAGTTTGTTTAGTGTCGATGCACAAATTCAAACAGCACAGTATAACTGAAATACAGAGAAACATTTAATTACCATTAAAGGCAGAACCGCGGGTCATAAAGAGCTTTAAGAGAGGCAGGCCGACCCAGTTCAACTCCTTACAGAACTTAGTAAATTAAAAAGTTTTTAAAACGCCCCGTTTTCATTTTTGATACTTTGAGGTCGACAGAATAAAAAGCTCCTGCAAAATATTGAACACCCTGGCACTTTTTGTCCTTTTCACGTTAATTTGTGGGCAGTTTCCTCCCCCCTCGATGACAGATGTTAGAACTTCAGCCAGTAAATATGAAAATTAGGGATGCACGATATTATTGGCATCGGTCGATATTAGCGATTAAGTTAAATATCGGACACTCCATCAAAATAACTCACCGATATAAAAAGGCGCTGTTTTTGTATGACAAGGAAATAAAGTTTTAATACACAGTGAGGAGAATAAGTATTTGAACACTCTGCAGCTTTGCACGTTCTCCCACTTAGAAATCATGGATTGATCTGAACTTTTCATCTCATGTCCACTGTGAGAGACATAATCTAAAAAATAAATCTGGAAATCACAATGTATGATTTTATAATTATTTATTTGTGTGTCACTGCTGCAAATAAGTATTTGAACACCTGCCAGTCAGCAACAGTTCTGTCCCTCAAATACCTGTTAGTCCACCTCCACTTATTATTCTAAATTAGAAGCAGCTGTTTGAGGTGGTTAGCTGCATGAAGACACCTGTCCACCCCACACCATCAGTAAGACTCCAACTACTAACATGGCTAAGACCAAAGAGCTGTCCAAACACACCAGAGACAAAATTGTAGACCTCCACAAGGCTGGAAAGATCTACAGGGCAACTGCCAAGCAGCTTGGTGAAAAAAGATCAACTGTTGGAGCAACTATTAGAAAATGGAAGAAGCTAAACATGACTGTCAATCTCCATCGGACTGGGGCTCCATGCAAGATCTCACCTGGTGGTGTATCAATGATCCTAAGAAAGGTGAGGACTCAGCCCAGAACTACACGGAGGAGCTGGTCCATGACCTGAAGAGAGCTGGCACCACTGTTTCCATGGTTACTGTGGGTAATACACTAAGACGTCATAGTTTAAAATCATGCATGGCACGAAGGTTCCCCTGCTTAAACCAGAACACGTCCAGGCCCGTCTGAAGTTTGACCAGGACCATTTGATGATCCAGAGGAGTCATGGGAGAAAGTTCTGTGGTCAGATGAGACCAAAATAGAACTTTTTGGTCTTAATTCCACTCGCTGTGTTTGGAGGACGAAGAATGAAGAGTACCATCCCAAAAACACCATCCCTACTGTGAAGCATGGAGGTGGAAGCATCATGGGTGTTTATCTGCACATGGGACAGGACGACTGCACTGAATTAAGGAGAGGATGACCGGGGCCATGTGTTGTGAGATGTTGTGGAACAACCTCCTTCCCTCAGAGCATTGAAGATGGGTCGTGGTTGGGTCTTCCAACATGACAATGACCTGAAGCACACAGCCAGGAGAACCAAGGAGTGGCTCCATAAGAACATATCAAGGTTCTGGAGTGGCCCAGCCAGTCTCCAGACCTGAACACTATAGAAAATCCTTGGAGGGAGCTCAAACTCCGTGTTTCTCAGCAACAGCCCAGAAACCTGCTGATCTAGAGAAGATCTGTGGAGGAATGGACCAGAATCTCTGCTGCAGTGAACCTGGTGAAGAACTACAGGAAACCTTTGACCTCTGTAACTGCAAACAAAGACTACTGGTCCAAATATTAACATTGATGTTCACAGGTGTTCAAATACTGATTTTCCTCACTGTATCTGCATATCAGATATCGGCCAAAAATCAAATATCGTGCATCCCTCAAGAAATTATTACTTTAAACATTTCTTTTCTCTGCTGTACCTCCTCCAGCTTGTCGAACCTCTCTCTGACCGGGGCCTCCATCTCCTGCTGCACCTGAGCTCTGAGTAACTCCAGCCGCTGGGGGGTCATCACCTGGTTGAATCACAAGCACGGACATCTAAAAACCAACCAACTGCATGTTTAGGTTTCAAAGAGACACGGATCTCTGGTGAAGCACGAGCTGCAAAGTGACGGGGTTCACCTGCAGCCGAAGCTCCTCCAGCTCCCTGGTTTTGTCCAGCAGCTCTCCTCGCAGCTCTGCCAGCAGCAGCTGCAGTTTCTCCTGCTGAGACTGTCGCCCGCTCAGGAGGCGCTTCAGTTCAGCCTGCGCCCGCGTGAACTCGTCCTGCAGGCTGCAAAACAAAGAGCAGAAACAACCCTCATATCAGCGAAACCGTTTCGTTCGCTCGACAAGACCGTGTGGAGTTCCACCACACCTGGTGTGCTCAGCCTTTAGGGTCTGGTAGTTGGTCCTGTGGTTCTCAGACTTGATCCTCTCGTCAATCAGCATCTTCTGCAGCTCCATCTCTGCGCCCCCCAGCCCAGCGGACAGCCCCAGCATGGCCGCAGACTTCCCCATCCCGGGTTCCAAGTCCGAGACGAGCGGAGGCGACTGGCCGAGCGCGGAGGAGGTCATCTCGCCTTCAAGAAACCGAACACAACAGAGTCAGTGTTGAATAAATGAAGCGCTTGATTCTCAGCATCCAGAGGAGAAACAGACAAAGAACCTGCCACCAAGTGGTTCTGAAGAACCAACCCTGGAGCTGTTGTCAGTAACCATGGAGGTCTGAAGAGTCCCTCAGCCACTTCTTGTCCTCCTGGAATCAGCCTCAAGTGATTAGTTAAAGCCTCCCTCCCTGGTGGAGACTCAGCTGTGATTTAGTCTCTAATATCAGAGTTTAATCTCTGACGCTCCTCTAACATGGACTGTCCATCAGAAGACATGTTACTAACATGGACTGTCCATCAGAAGACATGTTACTAACGTGAACTGTCCATCAGAAGACATGTTACTAACGTGAACTGTCCATCAGAAGACATGTTACTATCGTGAACTGTCCATCAGAAGACATGTTACTAACATGAACTGTCCATCAGAAGACATGTTACTAACATGAACTGTCCATCAGAAGACATGTTAGCACGTGCACTAATGTCTTCATTGACATTGATATAAACCAAACACGGTGCTCCTTTAGCATGAATGCAGCTTTAACAGAAAAATAAATTAACATAATGAATAAACAAGAAACAACATTTAAACGACGCGTCTCGTTTTTGAATGTCGCGCGCCTCGAAGCGGAATGCTAACCGTTAGCCACAAACGTTAACCGACACGCAGAGCTTCTGCCAGTAAAATTAATTAATGTTATTCATTTAAACATACCTCAATTTTAATACGGAAACATTAACTCGGATATTTCCATCCAACGCGGCGAGCCACGCAAGCTCTGACATTAATAACGTCTATGGCTGAAAGCGTTAATGCGCTAACTTTAGCTTTAGCATGCTAATAAGATGTAGCTTATCATAAATTAAAAACTCGTGAAGCAGCGTTAAAATAAACTTTTTTTTTCTTTATAAACTTGACCAAAAACGAAATTAAAAAACTTACCTCCTTTACTTCACCTCCGCCTCTTTCTTTTCCAGTCTGCTAGCTAGCTGGCCCGTAAAACTACAAAGCGGGGCATTGTGGGAAATGTTTCCCGTTGTTTCGACCGCGCCACATAAGTTGTTTGTACCGCATATACTTGCTTAAATTAATTTATGTATTAAAATAATTAATAAATACTGATATTAGTCAGGATTAGATGAAGCTGTCAAGCAAATTTGTTAAAAAAAGTTAAATTAGTCGAGACTTCAAAAGCTCAGCGGCGCCCCCTGCTGATCAAAACGTCTCAGCCAATAAAAGATGAAAAATAGAGGGTTATTTAATATTTTTACACAATTATACAAACTTTAAATTCACTTTCTTGACGGTTTCGACAGGATCGGAGCACCACAACTATACTGTAAAATTTTCTTTAATGACAAGAATAAAAATCTGACAAAATTATGCAAAAAATGATTCCAACGCAGGCGAAAATAAATTTAAATCACTCCAAAAAGCTTTAGTAGTTAAAAGAAGTGCATTCAGAAGATTTACCTTAACTTGTCATTAACTGGGTACAATAAAAGGGTGTGTAAACAATATAGACTCGCCAGCTAAAACTCACATTTACACATTTAGGTAATGTTTGTAATTTTTTTTTTTTTCCATTTGGAAATAAAATGCTTTTATTTTGGTGAATTAAACTGTGACCATCTAACACAGCTTTGTTTACAAAGTTTCTTACAGGCTGTTCTTTTATATTACTGCTAAAATTAATAAACACAAGTTTGATTTATGCAAATAAAAACATAAGATGAAAAATTATTTTCACAGAGTCAGTTAAATTAGCATTTCCTTGCTAACCTTTCTGCAAATAGCTGCCGAACTGTTGCCAATCACGGCATTTTTGTTCAGTCTAAAGAAAAATTAAAACAAAATACGAGTCTTGGCTCAACAGGCCTCATATTTTTTTGTATCAGAGCTAAATTAAATGTCAAACTTCATACAGAACGATGATAAAATCTGAAATGTTTTAAAATCAAACATGCTCCGATATCAAAATAAAAGCTTGCTGAAAAGAGAATTTTACACAAAGTATTTTAAAAAAGGAGATTAGTGACTCAAAAGTCATAAAAGACGGCAGCGATTTAAGCACAGAACATTACTGGATATATCTTTAAGCAATTGCTTTCACGTTATAAAAAAAATAAACACTAAACAGTTCAGGTGAAACTATTTACAGGCTCGATAAAAAGGTCAAAATAAATTAAGGAAACGGCAGGAAGTGTGGCGCCGACAGCTTCCTGAGCGGTCCATCTTTGTCCGGTTGGACTGGAGCTGAAGGGTTTCAGCTGGAGCTGCAACAAGAACATACGACGAGGTTAAAGTTGAAACGAGGTCCGGGGACGAGGTGTGGACCACGTGGTTTACCTGTCGGCGGCGTCCCGCTCGGCCTCGGCGCCGCCGTCGGTTTTAAACCCAGACGCTCGAAGTTTAACAGGATCTGCAGACACGATTTGTTTTTAGCTGTGAAACGCCCGACTCCAAGGACGATGGGACTTTGTGTAAAACGTAAACATTAACAGAACTTCATTACTTCAGTCACAACGGAACGTAAACGTATTAAATATTTAAATTAAAAATGTTCCATATGACGGAAAAAACACCTGCTGCGGTCAACTCAGAACCAAAGTTCATTTCAAATGAGCCGAAGAAAGTGGACTGATCGGGGAATTACTTTTTTTAAAGGCAGGACGACCATGAAGCCTTTTTCTTCCAATGCACAGTTAAACGCCTGCCTCTCTGATGATATGGGGGTGCATAAACAACAAAACCCGGTCTTAAAGTAAAGACCTTCTTTTTCTGTATTTTCCTAACAGAGCGCTTCACTCCCAGACTGCAGGTTTACTTGTGGTTCCTAGAGTTGTTAAAATGGGATGAAGATCTTTTGGTTCTCAGGCTCCTCTCTTGTGGAACCAACTTCCAGGTTCTGTCCATGAGGCTGACACATGGTCCAGTTTGAAGTCTTTCCTGTTTGATAAATCCTATAGTTGGGGTTGGCTTCGGTTTCCAGAGTTATCCCTAAGTTCTGCTGCTACTGATGGAGGACAAACTCACAGCTGTCTTCAGGTTTGTATCATTAACATGAGTCTTTCTTCACAGAGAAGCAACATCTAGACCATAGAATCTACACCTGGACCATGGAATCTACACCTGGACCATAGAATCTACACCTGGACCATGGAATCTACACCTGGACCATAGAATCTACACCTGGACCCACCTTGGATCCAGCGGATCTGCGTTGCCGGGCCATAGCCCTGCTCGTTCTTGGCGGCGATGCGGAAGACAACGGCCGGGCGGCAGGACAAGGAGCTGTCGATGTGGGCGTTAACCAGATGGGCGGAGCCAACCAAGCAGGACGTCTTGGTGCCGCGGTATATCCTGATGAAGGCCATCTGCCCCGGCCGCTCCGAGCCGGTGGAGCGGTTCTTCCTCACTGCCAGGTACATCGAGTACTCCAGGATCCGGCCCGAAGGCGACGACGGAGGGTTCCAGTTGATCTGGACCGAATCGTTGACCTTTGCAGAAATCGAAGATAACCAAGTTTGTAACGTTTAACTAGAAAACAAAAATGAAACAAACTTTTTTTTATTTTTTTTATCGCAAGTTGTTTTAAGAGTTGAACCATATTCTGGAAACAACGAAGAAACTCAAAGATGAAAAAAAGTCTCAACTCTGGACTTTCAAAAACTTTAAAGATTCTTTGGGGGGCACCTGGATCAGACATTCCTCCCATTGTTTCTTGAATGTAACTCCTTAGAACAAACGTTTCATCTGCTCTAACGTGTTTCACACCCACCGTCAAAAGCAACTAGTGTTTCTGCCTGTGTCTTTGTCTGTTAGCAAAATATCTCAGCCACCACCACACAAGTTTTAATCAAACTCCTAGAAATTATTCACTGGATGCACAACTACAGCTTACGGGAGTCAACTCAGTTCAAGATGGCTGCCACAGCAAACCTGAAAATAAAATAAAAATGACTAAGTCGTTGTGTGGTAGTAGCCGAGAACAGTTCACAACACACACTCTGAGGGCTACTTGTTAAAAATCATCTTCGACCTTTGATTCAGCCTCGCTCGTCGGAGTGAAGGTTTTCAAACATAAATACGTGATTTATAACTTTTTAGCCTCGACTGTGTTTTTGTCTCTTCTACAACCAATGAACGTCATCGACCCAGAATGCATTGCGTCGATAAAAAACGGTGACGACTTTAAGTGAAAAACCAAGAGATTAAAAAAAAAAAAACAAGGCATTTTTGTGAATAATGCGTCGTCACCTTTGAAATCTTGACGGCAGAGGGCGCTCCGGGGAAGCCGGGTTGGCAGGTTTTGAAGTCGCTGACGGGGCTGAAGTCTCCCTGACCGAAGCAGTTCAGACCCACTACTCTGAACCGGTACGTCTGACCCGGAACCAGCACCTGCTTCTCCCTGCCCTGGTAGTCCTGAGGTCCGGGCAGCCTCCTCTGAGGAGACGGAATAAGACGATCGGCGTCGGTTTTATTCAGAGCGTGTGCAGCTGTTTTTATCCTCACCTGTTTGGTGTTGGGGGATCTGACAGCCGACGTCACCTGGCTGCTGTCGGCAGGCAGGAAGTACTCGGTGACCTCACAGTACAGACTTTTAAACACGCCCACATCAAACCAAACCGCTCCACAGTCGACCTCAAGGTAGAAACAAACGCGTTTCATTCAGCTGAACCAAAACTGAACCAAACCTAGCTCGTGTTCAGAACTGACCGGATCCGTGCCGGCACCGGTTCCGTCCGCTCTGGTTTCATTTGAGCCGTTTGAAGATTTCACAGCTTTTCTCTGCTGCTCCGACGTCTCCTGGAAGTCAAAGAAAACTATTGTAATCAGCAGAACCAGCATCCGCTGCTCGTCACTTTGTAATTTCCTTTAAATCTTCTGTGTGGCAGCAGTTTAAAATAATGTGTCGGGCACTAGGACCGGGCGACGCTCTGCAGCTACGTGCTGAAAGGAAGAGCCCTTATTTAAAACAGAACAGACTCGGTGCAGAGTTCATGTGAAGATTTGAAGTTGAAAATAATAAAATTCACCACCTCACCATCAGAAGCTGGTGTGTGAGGCGGGACTTTTGTCTGGTGTGGTGGTCTGCAGCACAGGAGCACCACACGGCACCGTTCTATCACCCTCCCTTTTCACCGTGTACACAACCAACTTTTGAGACATCCAGAGGTTCTCCAAAGACTCTGCCACCGTAGATTGTGTGTCAGAGGGGAACAGAACCAGGAAAACAAAGGAGGCGGCCCACCTTCTGCTTCAGACTTAGGGGAAGGGACTAAAGGAGCTCCTTTAGTTAACGACTCAAACCCAAAGTGTAAAAATCAACGCTCTCGCAGGTCTTTCTTTCCGACTGCACGACGCTGCACATCTGTTCTTGTTTTCATCCCGTCAGTTTAATTCTGTTCCTCAGGATTATTGCAACTTCAGATCGTGTTTAATGTACCGTATTTTCCAGCGTATAAGTCGCATCAGTCCAAAAATGTCTCAAAGTGGAAAAATACATAAATAAGACGTTTCGGGGTATTTTACTTGTCAGTTGTCTCAAGTGAATGTTTGTGTCTGGGGGGGGTGGGGGGGTAGCGGTACTTGTCAAAACCTGGAGAGCCCTCTCGCGCCTCTAGCAGCTGCAGAATGAATGAAAGCGTCAGATGTCAGTCAATAAGAATATACAAGTCACAGGATTGACAAATTTATGAAAAAAACTGCGACTTATACACCGTAAAATACGGTACTTAATTTACATTTTATTTAATCTTAAATCACTCCTGACAGCGTCTTGTTACACCCCTACAAAATGCACATTTAAAATTATAGTTCTGTTAAAAAGTCTCAGTCCGTCCTAATTCACGTTTCCTTAAAGCAGTCACACATTTAATATTTTAAAGAGGTCTTCGTCAAGAGTTCTTGGGTCTTCCTGCAGAAGGTTTCAGTTTTTCTTCGGCTGCTTCTTCACCGTTTCTGTCTCAGTATCCGACTATTTTCAGATGCGTTATTTATTTGTTTTAAACACTTTCAGAGTTCCTTCCCTTCATCGTATTTTAAAGTTAAACCCAAACTTTCAGATTAGTTTTTTTGGTTACACCTACCCGAGCTGACGTTTTCTCTTCCTGACTAGCCGTTCCTTGGTGTTGAGGGTGGAGCGACGGGACACCTGGGAGTGAAGTTCACAGCTGAACAACACAAAGACTTGAGCATTTTATTGTTGCTTCTAGTCTCAGAACATCTGTTACCTCTACAAAGATCAACTATAAGCCCATTTTTTACTCTACGAAGTGACGATGTAAGAACAAATGTCTGCGTCCCGCTCACCTGCAGGATGTTCATTGTTCCTGCTCCGTCCATCTGGTCCTGTTGGCTCCACAGGTTTGGACCTCGGCGGAAACACCGGCTGGATCTGAAGGATGTAGCAGTCGGCAGCAGACAGGGGGCGCCACGCCACGTGAAGCATGCTGACGGTGGATTTGATGAGCAGCACGGCCTCTGGAGTAGCAGGTCGCTCTGACGGCAGAAAAGCAAACATCAGAATTTTGATTTTTTTTTTTTAATAAACTCTGCAGCTTTGGCTCCACTGCCCTCACCTGTCTCCAGGTACCAGAGGTCTTTGCAGCAGACCTGGTAGTTCCAGTTCTTGCGGAATCCATCTCGGCCGCTCCAAACGTAAAGCCTGGAGCCGACGTTGGTGGCGCAGTGTCCAGCCCTGGCTCTGGGCCAGCTGGCGTGCAGGTCGTCGCTCTGAGGGGCCTGGATCTGCAGCTGGACCTCCAGATCGTCCTGCTGCTCCGGGCCGGGCCTCTGCCAACACATGGTGTCTGCGACACAAACAGTTAGACGGCTGCTGGCCTCGACGAGTGACAAGCTTCAATCCTGACGCGAAGCATACTAACCCAGGTTCAGTACATTTAGGGAGTTCGTGCACATCCATTCAGTTTCGGATGAATTGTGTTTCTCCGACTCTGGAACGGGAACCCAGCCGCCGAAAACGTACATCCTGCAGACAAACACGACTCGAACTCTGGACTCGGCTGACGACACAAAATGATTAAACGAGTAAACCGTACTTGTTTCCAATGAGGCTGGCAGAGTGAAGACTTCTGGGAAGAGGGGCGGGGCCTCTCGTTGCAGGGGATGACCAAACCATTGAGCCTGACAGACGCAATAAATAAATAAAAAACACAAATCAAAAATTAAATCAAGTGAGCATAAAAAAATAAAGATGGTTAACGATGAAGGGCCTACTGAGATCCAGCTGCCAGAAGTCGTTCAGCCGACATCCTTCCATCCCTCCAAAGATGAAAAGCTTTGAGGAGCCGAGACCGGCGTGGGCCACAGCGGCGTGGGACTCTCGTGCACAGGGACCGGCTCCTTTCGTCTCTGGGACGTTCCAGCCTCGCACGCCCGTCGATGCCTGCAGCTCCAGCTCATACAGATCCCCCAAGTACCTAAAACCACAATAAAAATCAAACTGACAGCCAAAAACTACAAAACCAGGGCACAGCTAGGCCTGTCTCGATAACAAATGTTGCTGGGCGATTAATTGTCTCAGAAATTATTGCGATAAACGATAATATTGTTTGAAATTTGACAATAATTAGTAATTATTGTCAAATCTAAGAAGAAATGTTGGTTAATTTTGTATGTAGTACCTTTTTTGACCACTGGATGGCAGTATAAGACTGTTTGAAGCGAAGGATGGATAGTGAGGGAGCGAGCAGCGTGTCTCTTTAAGAAAAATGAGAGGGAGGCCCCTTGACGTGACGTGGGCTGTCTCTTGTTCTTGTTTTTCGATTCTCAAAATGGTGGACACTCAGTGTGGTTTCAGATCTTTAGCATTTGTCACACAAAGCTTTTAATAAAAAAAAATCAGCAAACAAGTTCTCAGCTTCTTTTTGCAAAGAAAAACAACTTTTTACACGAAGGCACGTGTTGCAGCTTCGACAAGACGGTCACAAAAACGTGATTTTGGATCGTTAAAACTGATTTTGAAGAGAAAACAGAAATGGAGGGGTCAGTGAAGAACACCAGAGTTGAGCCTTTTGTCATCCAGTGTCTTCAGTAGAAAGAGAGACGAAGAAACGATAAAGCCGATAAATGAAAACGAGGTCGATAATTTTTATTTATCATGCGATTGATTGATTTATTGTTTATCGCGACAGGCCTAGGCACAAGCCATCGAAACAATTCTGTCTTCATCTAGAGATTAAACAAATCGCACACATTGACTTGAGCCTCTGTACACACAATTCAGTTGTCCAGAACTACTTAACTTGTGTTTTCTGAGCTGCAGGATTTCCTCAGTACCTTGGTACATTACCGTGGGGGTCCTCGCTGTCGTTGGCCAACCCCCCAAACAGGTAACACTTGTTGCCCAGGAGAGTGAAGCTGTGGCCGATCCGCGGGCAGGGAGACGAGCCGGTTCTAGGCGCTCTCGGCTTCAGCTTCTTCCACAGCCACCGACTGGCCTGAGGAGCAGAAACCAGAGCAGGGACGTGAAACGAATCAGAACCGTGGCTTCTATTTCAATCGTTTTCCTCTAAATCATCACAAAACCCGTATAACTGACAAAAATAACCTATTGACATAATTCTGACGTGTTTTTAAAATTCAAGCACGCTCCCTTCTTCCTTGAGTCAGTTTTTTATGTGTTTATATGAGAAGCGGTTACAAAACAGATTATTTCTTTACCTTCGTATGAAACAAAAGTGAGGAACTTTTAGTTTGCGTAAGGACTGGACCTTTATTAATAAATCATTTAGACCCCACAGGCAGATTTGGAAGCATCGGATGTTTTGTTAAAATGAAATACTTGCTGTATTTGTACAAAAATTCGTAAATATTCATAAATATTTTGATATTTTCTTATTTGTTGAAATGTTATCAATCCAGCATACACTGCTTACATCATAAAACATGACATTTAAAACAATAATAAAAATTCGTTGTGAAAAAAATACATTTTATGGAGCCCTAAAATAAAACGTACTGAACAATCTGAATACTATGTTGAATATTTTAGGGAAGGTTCAACGTTCACTTTCTTTACACCCATCAATGAACGATCGTGATTACGATTTTCTCCACAATCCTGCAGCCTTAATCTGGATCTGAACATTAATATTTGTTTCTAACAAAGTTGAGTCAGGTCCTCTGGACTGATTCTTATTTGTTGAAATGTTTTGTTCAGTCTGAAGAAGTCTTTTGGACAAAATACTGAACGTTTAAACAAAGAAGAATCCGTCCAGAGGACTTGACTCAACATTAATCTACCTGGATTATCAAGCAGCATCAGGACATTACTGTGTGTCCCAGCTCCGGAGTTTGAGATGAAGCCGTGTTTCACCTGAAGCTCGTAGAGGCTGTTGGTGTATTTCCCGTACTCCACCATGCCGCCGAAGACCAGGATCCGAGTGCCGTCGCAGACGAAGCCGTGAGCAGCACAGCCTGGTGGGATGTCGCCCCTCACCGCTGGGAGAAACCACTGCCTCGAAACTGGAAGATCAAGCAGGAATCAGATGTCAAAGCAGCAAAACACCCGAGTAGAGTTCACGTAAAGGATTTAAAAAGCTAAAAATAGAAATACTACACTGAAATATAAACAGGGAGCACATATTCTGTTGTAGTGTGGCGAACCAAATGTGACAAAAACACAAATAAAATGGTATTTTACATTTTAATGTCACGATGAGTTTTCTTGTGAGATCTGCATCACTCGCATTTTATCAAAATATAAAGTATTGTGAATTGCTAAAAATAAATGGTATCATGAACAGGTGTTTTGCTTTTTATAGCAGTAAAGTACGTTTAAATTTGTAAGATTTATTGCTAAGCTTTTTATGTAGAAATTAGTAGTGAAGCTGCTGTTGTTACGACGCATTGTTTTACATTACTAGTGTTCAGTTTGTGACGATGAAGTTTAGTTAAACTTGATAAATAAAATTCTTTATCTCATGAACTTAAAACGCTTCAAAGACACGACTTAGAAATTTAAAAATAAGTAGACAATTTAACAAATAATTTAGTTGAAAAGCGTAATACTGACAACAGTTTGTGTATTTAATTGTTTTTTGTAAGTAAACAACAAATCACGAATGAAAATATCCTGCTCACTTCCATCTGAAAGATGCTAAAAACATTAGCAGCTAACTGGCTAGCTAGCGCTAAGCTAGCTGTAGCTTACCGGTGTTGTAAACATGGAGGTCCTCCGCTATCCCTTCGTTTCCGCCGCCGAAAACAATGATGAGTTCGCGGATTGCAGCCGCTCGGTGTCCGTGTCTGGACCGCGGAGTCACTCCGGTAACCGAATGCACTTTTCTCCATTGCGGCTCCTCGACACCGTCGCTCATTTTTGGTGAAGGAGCCTAAACTTTCGCGCTTCCGATGTTAGGTGGGCGGGGCACAGGTGGAACAGGGGCCAGAGATGAAGAAAAAAAACGAAGATGTCTCACTTCGGTAGAATTTTATTTATTTATTTTATTTTCAAGGAGTTTGAAAATGAAAAGTTAAAAGTCACAACTTGAAGAGTTATAAATAATACAAATAATTTAGGCTGCTCATAAAAATAACCAAATAGATAAACAAAGATTTATTAATTATTAATTAATAATAATTGGTAATATAATAAATATACGATATGTCGTAAATAAAAACATTAGGATACTATTTTTTATAAGCGTTTTCTATTGGGCAGGTTTTATTGTACAATTATCTGGCCATTTGAAGGCATTTTATATTAAACATTAGTTTAATTTGATATTAGACAAGTGTTGATTTTTTTCAAATCCTTTATTACAACAATGACAACAAGAAAAAAAAAACAGAACAAGAAGAAGAAACAAAAAAAAACAACTATAGGAAAACCAATTATGAAAAAGTTTAAAGGTACTCACAGCAAAGTCAGAAATACTGAACAAGAAACCAACAAAATCCAAACATTTTCCCCTCGTATGTTTGTTATGTATCCTTAAATTAAAAATTTTAATAAAATTTACAACTTGTTGCCAACTTAGTGTTTGTTTATCCACAAAACAGGCAAAGTGATAGAAACGTACTATTTGTTTAGCTACACACAAGCCTCGAGGTTTTTATTTATTTATTTCAAAGTATTTGTTTTTATTGAGTGCGTACCCGCATCTCAGGGTTAGAACATCTGGAAAACCGCTGGAGTAAACTTCTTCTGTTTTCATGCTTTGATGCAAGTTTTAACTAAATAAATATTTATCTTTAAATAATCCACTAAATTCAGTGTTTTAAGGAAACTTTCTCATATTTGATCATTTACAGGATCCTTTGAACGCAACAGTCAACTCGATATAATTCATATGCTGCACGTGGATACAATGAAATCCATAATTGGGCAATTTTAATGTACCGGAAGGTTAGTGTGCGTGTGCGCAGAAACAGGAACACCTCCTGGTGAGCAGGAAGAGAAGAAGGACGTCAGTTGTCAATTTGTGTGTGCGCGTGTGTGCGCGCCAGAGGGGAATGCTCCAGAGGAAGTGCGCCCGTTCTCCGTCTGCGCCTCCTGACTTCCTGCTCTGAAGCAGGAGAGAGAAAAAGCTGCGGGTCTGCTTTCAGTCCGCGGGGCAGCAGCAGCAGCAGCAGCAGCAGCAGCATGGACCCCCATCCCCACGACACACACACACCAACACACACACACCACTTTAGGTAAACTCAGAAGGCGCGTGGACGGGCAGACGGACGCACGGAGGAGCAGCGGCCGACCACAGTTGGGTAGGTGCCAACTTTCTGACTGTAACTTGCAAAATAAAACAAATTAACCTAAAACGATTTGGTCAATAAAACAACAGAACCCCTAAATGGTCCAAATAAAGAGCGTCAACTTGAAAAGTGCATCCAAGCCGCGCGTAAAAGGTTAAATCTGCGCGTAAAAAGGTGCCAAACGCGCGTAAAGCAAGCTGCGTTTTCAACGTTTATATTTATCTGAAGAATAAAATGAGTTAAGGCAGGTCAGGATTCAAAGAGGGGGGGTTTAAAAATCCACGGTGGCTCCTTTAAAATCCTGCAGCAGACTTTCTGGTTTGTCTGGAGCTGCAGACTAATTGCCACGCGCTTCCGGATTGAAGCTGGCAGCAGACAACATGTTGAAAATGAGTCAGTGACTGGTGGAAAACAAAGAAACGTTTGAGTTCCGCACACACACGCGCGCGCGCGCACACACACAGAGGGGCGTACTTTCAAATATAAGGGGCAACATGGAAACTTGTGGGCTGGTTCTGCTGGACGGATGAAAAAACTAATTTGATAACATTTCAAAGAAGCGGTGGATTATTTAGACTTGTTGGGCATCATGAAGACAAAAAGTTCTCACAGTGACGAGAAAACACAAAACAAATCCAGTACCTGTGATGTCTGATTAAATAAAAATATACAGCTACTTTCACCTTTTTTAGACCAAAAACCAAGCAGTAGATGTGTGTGTGTCCGTTTGTGTTGCCCTGTAAGGCCCATTTCTCCAACACACACTGTGAGGACCAGCTCCGTATGGGGCCCAGAGCCCGGCCCCATACGGAGCTGTGGGTCAGGGTCAGGGTCAGGGTATAGAAATGAATGGAAGTCAATGCAACGTCCCTATAAAGATAGAAAGACAAACTGTGTGTGTGCACATGCCCTCCACATCTGTTGGGTGTTAACGGATCTTTATCCAAATAAAAAACAGAATGTGGACAAATGTTGCCGGTGCTTCCTGCTGACAGGAAGTCCTGAAGAGCCTTTCACCGGGAATGACGCCCTGAAGCTGAATGACAGGAAGTCCTCCTTTACACAGAGACATCAGTTCCTCTATCAACACACACACACACAGGAAACAGGAAGTGAGAGCAGTTGTGTGCTCGTGGTGTTGTTGGGTCATTGTTTGCTCTTTGAGGTTTCCTTGTTTTAAATCGTTTCTTCTCTGAGCTCCATCATCCGTGAACTTCATGCTGCTGTTTTGAAGCAACAGGCTTCCAGGTGAACATGTCGGCGAGGGCCGCGCTCGTCTCGGCAGACCCGCTGACCACATCCTGCTTCGTCACCATGGAAACATCTGAAAGTCATTCGTTGTCTGCTCGTGGCACAGACTCTGATGTGCACGCTTGGATGAGAAAAACAAAATACAACTAGACAAATTACATTTCCTGTGAAAATGCAGTGTGAATGCTTGTTGCTAAAGAACTTGCTGAAAAACAGCTGAAATTACACAAAAATGCTGAAAAAAAAGTAGCTGAAAAGGTAGAACAAGCTGAATTTAGCAGAAGAAAGCAGAAAGGACACATATTTGCTGAATTGTGTTTAAATAAGCAGAAACAAGCACAAAAATTAGGAAATTGGCTCAAAAATGCTGAATTTAGCTGAAAAGTAGCTGAAAAAGCTGAAAGAAGATTGAATTACCACTACTAAGTGCTTCCACTTAGTAACTTCCACTACTAAATAGAAGGAGCTGAAATGAGCTAATATATATAATTAGCTGAAAAACAAAATTTAGCACAAAACAGCTAAATAGTAGCTGAAATTGCAGAAACAGCTGAAACTAGCAGACAAAAGCTGAAAGCAACACAACAAGCTGAAATTAGCAGAAAGAAGTTAATTAGGCTGGCAGAAATTACCATGAAATTTATCTGAAAACAGCTGAAATTAGCTTAAAAAATGCTAAAAAAAAATATATAGCTGAAAAGATTAAATTAGCAGAAGAAAGCAGAAAGAACATGTTTGCTGAAAGAAGCAGAAATGAGCACAAAAATGTGGAAACTATTTGAGAAAAAAAACAACCTGAAATTAGCAAAAAAACGGATGAAAAGTAGCTACAAAAGCAGAAAGAAGCCTAAAATACCAGAAGGAAATGGATAGAGCACATTTTGCTTAATTAGGCTGAAACAAGTGCAAAATTGTGGAATTAGCCACAAAAAAGCTCAAATTAGCATAAAAACAGCTAAATAGTAGCTGAAATAGCCGAAAATGCTGAAACTTGTAAGCTGAAAGGAGCATAATAAGCTGAAATTGGCAGAAAGAAGTTAGAAAAGGCACAAAAATGTTCTAGTTAGCAGAAATAATCTGAAAGGCGTACAAAACAGCTAAAAGAAACACACCAGAATTTAAATGAAAATAGCTGAAGAAAGTTAAAATTTGCAGAAGGAAGCTGAAAGAAGCTGAAGCAGAACAAAATGTGAAAGGAGCAGTAAAAGGTTGTAAACAGAGCTAAAGATTTGAAGGATGGAAAATGAGCTCAATTCATTTTCTATGAGGAAAAAATGTCAGAAAAGGCTAAATATTCCAAAAAAGCTAAAGTTGCACAAAAAAACAAAAGTCACAGCAGGATTGTCCTGAAAGAGCTGAACGTTTTATGATTTGTTGAAACAGATAAAAACGAACAGAAGAAAACTGGATCAGTGGAGTGAAAGTTTCATAAACATTCACTCAGTTTGATACAACCTGAACTCTGACAAAGTGTAAAAACCACAAGAGAAACTAAATCTGGTAAACTCTGATTTTATTCACAACGAAACAAGAAACAAACAATTAAACTAAGAAATTGTAGCGTTTAAAACACAAACGGTTCATTTAGAGTTTGAAGCAGCAGCACGTCTGTAAAGTTGCTCCCAGAAGGTAAAAGGAGCTGCAGGAGCTCTTTGAACGGACCCGGTTCGTTGCCAGGTCAGACAGAGGACCCGGCTGGAGAAGAGACTCGTGGAGAGGCTGAAGCTCTTAGAAGTAAAGACGGGCGGAGGTTCAGCTGTCTGTGGAAAACTGCGTCTAAAACAGGAACCATTTCAAAATAAAGGTCCTTAATAGAACATCTGGAACACTTTGATGGTCTCATCATCTACAGATGAGAAGAATCTGTAGAAACCTCTGAGCTCACAGGCTGAAGGTCCATGTTGGAGGGTCGTGGTCTTCAGGACCTCAGGGGCCGCTCCACTAAAACCAGTTCAGGTTCTGGTCTGGACTCAGGAACTCTTCCACAGATCACTGTCAGTTCATTCACAGGATGCTGCTTAAAGCTCTATCAGGCAAACAAGAAACCAGATGTGAACACCAGCCAGAACCGCTGCCGTCTCCTCTGGACCAGAGCTCCTTTCAAACGGACTGAGCTGAAGTCCAGAACTGTTCTGAGGTCAGACGGGTCCAAATCTGAGATTCTGTTGGGAAACCACGAGCACCACATCCTCAGCGCACAGTTCAAGAGGCTGCCTCTCTGATGGTATGGGGGTACATTAGTGCCTCTGGTACGAGCAGCTTACACATCTGGAAAGACTCCATCAGTCCAGAAACGTATCTACAGGTTTTAGAACATCTGCTCCCATCCAGGATGTGGAACAGCTGGAGTCTTCCATCGGACCAGAGCAGGACAACATTCCCTCCAGAACCTCAAACATCTGGTCTCCTCAGGTCCTCCAGAACCTCTAACATCTGGTCTCCTCAAGTCATCCAGAACCACCAACATCTGGTCTCAGGTCCTCCAGAACCACCAACATCTGGTCTCCTCAGGTCCTCCAGAACCTCAATCATCTGGTCTCCTCAGGTCCTCCAGAACCTCTAACATCTGGTCTCCT